ATGATATACCTTTTCTAAAAATAAGAATAATCAATAAACACCAACTTTTCCTTGATTATTACATATAAACTTGGATCTTCTTACTCTTTTTATGACAGAAGACAATTACAGGTTATTATTTAATTATACTTTGTGCCAAGATGCTGCTTTCAAAGGTGATCAGGAGCCATGGGTAAGACGGTGTTCACAAAGAATGAAAATCACCAACCTATCTATGCACAAGTGGAGTTTTTATTACTTGTGTGTAAATCCTGCTAATGCACTAATTAGACTAAATTTCTTTATTTGATTGGCAATATTAAGAGGCTTCTAAGATCAAGCAAGATAATAGTAAACCAGAAATAAAGTATTTCTATTGTATTTTTCACTAGTGCTAATATTACAGTCTGTAAGAATATTTAAGTTAAATTCATATGAAAATGTTTGATTTGCAAATATAACTTCCAAAGTATATTACATACCTCCCCTACTCCAATTCCAAAAAGTGAAAGGGGAGACAGATACTCCCAGACACCTATTTCCTATTACCAGAAACATTCTGATAACAACTGTGCCATTGGAATTTATTTGGTTTGAGTTTCAACAAGCATTGAAATTTACTTGGTTTGAGTTTTTGTCTTTACTAGAAGAAAATATTTTCAAGATGCAAAATGAAATAATATTTTTTGCAAGTCACCACGAAGTTAGTTTTTCTAGTTTGGGAAGAAATTAAAAGCAAACACAATAGTAGGTGCAGAGAACATTTCCAGTAAACTACTGTGAGAGTTATATGGAGACATATAGAGCTGTGTGGTCAAATTAGTGGTGAAAGACTAATAAATCAGTCTAACAAATTTAGATTATCAATAATCCTGCTTTGAAATACCAAGAAAAAAGTGTTAAAGTAATCATTGTTAGAAAAAAATAGATTATAATGAGAAAGGAACATTATTAGCTAAATGCCAAATTGGAATTACTCGATTTCTAAAGAACCTTTCTCCAGCTTTCTTTAGAAACATGTCTGTTTCTATGCTTGCCCCTGAGGCATTTCTACACATTTTAAAAATTAATTGTAATATGTTTCACAATCCAACAAAAAACAGTTGTGACAGTAAAAATATTTCCCTGAATCCAATAGACTTGAAATGGTATTAATACAGTAGCTAGTGATTTGGCAGAAAGTCATTATTAGTTGTGATTGCCTGGCCGACTCTAAGACACAGTTTCTGGAATTATGGTCTTAGCGTCATTGCACACTACAAATGCAGAGTCCTGGGCCCTATTCCAGACATTCTTAATTAGAATGTCTGTATGGGGAATCCAGAAATTTGCTTTTCTTTTTCCTAACAGTGTTCCTCTAAGGTGAGACTGTATGTACACACAGAAGTTTAAAAACTACTGCCCTAGGAGATACGATGAAAAGAAATGCTATATTCTCTTACACACACACACACACACACACACACACACACACACACACACACACACACACAC